AAACACTAGCTCTATGGGTTGGAAACGGAGATGAGCACCGCCGCCTAGAGTCGGACATGACTGGACAAGTTATCAAGGGGAACCTTTACTTTTACTTTATAAATATATGCCTGTCCTTCTCGGCAAAAGTCAGCTTATCATGGTGGGATCTCATATGCCTGTCCTTCTTGGCAAAAGTCAGCTTATCATGGTGGGATCCCAGTTCTTTGAAAAAGTTATGGGTGGATGTAAGACGCAAAAGTTGGAGAATCATTGCTCCAGAAAACCACTGTATGAACACACTTATGAATTTCTGCATTGGCGGGGTGTGTGTGGTTCAGATAAGATGACCCTTGGTGCCTTTTCCAATGTGACATTTCCATAATTCTTCATGAGGTTGAAGAGTTTCTATTCCATTCCATTCAGTGAGATCCAACATGTTCCAAATATTCCCAGGGAAGTAGCTGTGATATTTTGTTGTAGCAAAACCAACGAAGAGTCTTGTGGCACCCGAAAGAGGAACATTTTCATTCGGCATATAAGCCTTCACGAACTGCATATCATTCCCGGTGTCACTCATATATTTTCTTATGGGCTTACAAATGCTTTCGTTGGGGCCTGTAACAATGTTTGTGGGAATCTTCCCTTTCCTGGGAGGGACCCACTCACTGCCTGCGCTCACAAGGCCCGGCAAGAACATTCCGCTGGGTGTCTGATGCTTCTGATAGTCTCCACTGGTGCTTTGCCGCCTCCAGCCTCGGCCCCTTCTCTTTTCTAAACATATGTGCTTTGAAAGGGAAAAGGCTGCTGCCAGCATGTCTGACTCCTTCGTCCTGACAACATCCGACTGGCCACATTATCAAGTCTTGCTGAGACTTATCAACAGACATAGTTAAAACAAGCCTTGTGTTTATCTGGGGGGGGGGGGAAGCTGTATCAATTGCGCTCTGGGACAAAGAGCTCGCTGGCACCAGGCAAATCTCTCCCTGGCATGGGAAAGGGACAGCCAGCCTGGCCTCAACAAAGAACCGCCGAGAGGGAAAGTCACCAAGAACACGTGGGGCCTCCCAAACGCCCCCAGACCTTCGCAGCAGGAGGGAGAAAAGGATCCATTTGGCCCAAAGCCCAAAAGAAGCTTCAGAACGGCTGAACAAGGGAAGGCTGAGTTCTGCTCCAGTGGTTTTTAGTGCAGAATCCCCATCTAAGAACATAGGCAGTAGTCTTGAGCATATGCAAGCATCTTCCAGCCTCCTAACATTTCTAAGCTTTGAAGCTGACATAATGCTTTGGCCCACAGAAGTTTAATTTCACTGTCTTCCACAAGATGGAAAAGTTACTTTTTCAGATTGCAACGCCTAGAATCCCAAACGGCCATACCGGCTGGGGTTCTGGGAGTTGCAGCCCCCAAACAGGGAGTCCAGAACATGGAAAAGTTACTTTTTCAGATTGCAACTCCTAGAATCCCAAATGCCATACCGGCTAGTGTTCTGGGAGTTGCAGCCCCCAAACAGGGATATTTCCAGGTTTTGGACTTGCCCCTTATAGCAGGAGAACGGGTGGCATATTCTAGTTACTTTTGAGGCATTTTAGAAGCATAGAAATTTTCAAAATTTATGCAATTCTTTTTCATTTTTTTAAAAGGAACGTATCAAATAGTAAACAGAAGCACAATAAGTCATTAAATGGGTGGTTTTCAGCACTGCAGTGGTTCTTAACCTTTAATGCCCCCCCAATAAATATCTTTTGTTGCTGTGCACTACCAAGACTTAACCCAAGATTTAAAACCTGAAAGTACATAAAATATTTATTTAAGGTTTCTCATGAATTTGGAGCGAAGGGAAAAAAAGTTAATATCTTAATACACACACTACTATTATAATATTTTATTGGATTATTTTTGGAGAGAAGGGAAAAAAGTTAATATCTTAATACACACTACTATTATAATATTTTATTGGAAATTATTTATTTGATTCCATACAAATTTAAAATAAATTGTCTTTAATTCTTGCTGTAGAAACTGAAATTACAAGTACATAAATTCATTAATATGACACAATCACGAAATCCATCCCAACACGTAATCTCACTGACACTGACTGACTCCAACTCTCTCTTCTCTCTGTGCAGTAGCAAGAAATGTCACGTGGTTTCTTTAAGCCACTCAGCATCATTCAGTTGCATGTTCTCATCATGTGCAGAAATATCAGTTATTTGCTATCAAACAGTTATTTCCATAACTTATTTTTACTTTTGTTTGTTTTTAATTCAGGCAATAGATTAAGAAAGCCAAGTTTTACACAAACAAGAAAGGAAATTTAAGATTTTGTTCTACGGTTCCTTTTCTTTCTTTCTTTCTTTCTTTCTTTCTTTCTTTCTGTTTTAATTGCAGAAGATCATAACATTTCTTCAAGCCTTCACAGGCCTTTGTGAGGACATTGTAACCCTTCCCCCGGGGTCCACAGATCACAGGTTAAGAACTGCTACAACAGTGTAATGAGTAACAGCAACTGATCACTGTCAAGCAATACAATGAATCATGGGAACGTATGACTTTAAAAGGTAACTTTCAAAGTTCTGATGGTGGTTTTCATTATATTCAAAGAGTTAGAATGCCTGGAAGCCTACCACTATAGAATCACTGAACAGTGGAATTGGAAGGTGCCTACGTATAAAGACATCAAGTCCAACCCTCTACTCAATGCAGGAATCCAAATTAAAGCAGATCTGACAGATGGTTGTCTAAATTTCTCTTGAATGCCCTGCAGTGTTGGAGCACTCACCACCTCTCAAGGCCATTGTTGTACTGCTCGATCAGTTAAGAAGTTTTTCCTAATAAATCAGGCTTCCTATAGCTCAAGACTATTATTATGTGCCCTGCACTCTGCCATGATTGAGAACAGATCCTGCCTCTCCTCTATATGATTACATTTCAAGTATTTGAAAAGTGCTATCCTATCCGCCTTACGTGGTAACCTTGGTCTGATCCCATATAAACCAGAAGCCCCTGGCCAATGCCGGCCATACACTTTAGAGAGAGTCAGTCATCTTATAGCAGCTAATTGACAATATTATGAAAGGCAGCAAGTTGAAAGTAATTTTAATTCATCATCAAGTCTCTATGGCGAGAGAAGAGTAGAGATGCATGTGGGATTTTCCACTTCAATGTCAAAATAACTTAACTGGCCTTGGATACTTTTGCAGTGGGTGGTGGTGCCACTTGAAGGCACCAAAATGCCTTGGCTAAGACCTGCTAATTTGTTTTTAGCTTAGGTGTTCTTAGCAGATGGACTTAGACAAACAAATATTAATTTAGCCTCCGCTCCCATCTGAAATATGTTAAATAACATGCACTAGATATGGTCCGAGGACTGTTTTAAGGATAACTGCAATAATGTAAATGAATGGTTAAATCAGGGTCCCAGGTGTGAATGTTCATTCTCTGCGTAGGGATGTAGCAGGCCAGAAATAAGAAAAATGCCCAACTCTGAAAAACAAAAAATTAAACTGGAAATAACCAGACATCTACTTATAATTTTGATTATTGGATTTTCAATACGGAGGGTGTTTGCAACCTCCCCATGGGAACGACCACTGCTCTTGGCGGGGGGGCTCTGAGAAAAGTCCCCCCCACCCTTGGGACAGCAACATGTAGGGGTCCATGGGGGTTCTGGGCCTCAGGAACAACCTTGGTGACAGCTTGTGCCCACCCCTGAGGTAAGTATGAATTAATATTAATTTTAAAAAGGGATGGCGGCCTGCTCATGGGCATGGCAAACATACAACCAGATGAAGAGGCAGCAGGCTGAGGTGGCACCATGAGGATAATAAATGAACCTGAAAGTGGTTTCCTTTGTTCTTCCTTAGAACGCTGATACCCAGAGCGAAGATAATAAATGAAGCAATCTGAACCTGAAAGTGGTTTCCTGTGTTCTTCCTTAGAACGCTGATACCCAGAGCTTGGCAAATGATTTTTAGAAGCAAATAGTTTTTTGTTGTTGTTTTGCCTTTGTAAGTGCAGTTTTAAAAACCAAATTGTTTTAAGTTCACATTTTTGAAAGACGTGCCTTTTCAGTTACTTTTTTAAAAAGCCATCTGAATGCTACAAGCTGTTGGTCGGTGCTACGAAACATCTACCTCTCCTACCAATCTTGTATCATCTCAACACCCACAACAGACCATGGGCCACAACATCTGAACCACAGGCTTCTCCTTCCTCTGTAAGGCCACACAGTTGATACTTGGAAAAGTAACTTATAAAGTGAAAGTTACACTGCAAATACAGTAGAATGAGATTATTATCACTTGTTAAATTACATTCATGATGTAATGCAGCTGTATTTCAGTTATTGGAAGAAGGAAGTAGTTGCAAACAGGGAGTTATCTCTTACTAGTTACTTCTAAACTCTGCTAAAACCAAGAGCTTCTGCACACATACCATTTTTTCCACTTCACAGCCTCTAACCACCTCTCATCTCACATTGGGAAAGAAAAAAGTTACTGCCAGTTTCCAGTTCTGGGCTGAATATGACTTTTCTCAAAGGAAGAGCTTAGTAAGTGAAAAAGGGAGAATTAACCAAAAGAATCACATCCCTTCATAATCTTATTTCCTCTTGTATATCTTGTATGGGTCAAGTTTGGGCTGAGTCCAAAGCCTCAGATTAATTCAATTCAGGAGGAGGTGGCTCCAGAGATCCTAAGTCAAATGGGGAGTGCTGGGGATGGGGGGGAGTGGGAAATGGTTCAACAACAAGTAAAGATAAACTGGGCCAAAGAATGTGTGTTTTCCGAATGACTGCCCTTTCTCCAGTGGGTGACAGTTCCAGCTACTAGTGGAAAACACAGCTTTTCCCCTGCATGAAAGTCGCTGGCTGCTTTTCACACACACAACACATATGTATGGAGGTCAAAAATATTTTTGGCAGTGCAACTGAAAGGGGCCCACTCTGGATTCCACGCGTCTGGTTGCTTTTCCTAGATGAGAGTTTCTTGGAGATAGCCAATGGCTTGCAGGAAGGAGCCTCTTCATATCTGGAGCTCTCTTATCTTCCTGGTGAAGTTGTTTTGACAGCAGAAGGCCTGAGACAGGACAAAGACCTTTGGGGAAGGAATGAAGTTAAGATCTGCCATTAACGAGGAGGATAATGCGTCAGCACAGCAGCATATGCTACTTGTTAAAATTGCACGCAGCCGTGGGGATTGCTGGGACCAGAGGTTAGGGGAAGAAGGAAGACACACAGCCAGGGTAAATAGCCACCAAAGGCCACGAAGAGGGCCATCCATGGCTTAAACCCCCGTTTCACATGGCCAAAACCCAAACCATTTTGCTTCCTTTGCCAAAGTGATTTTCGCCCTCACAGCCTTTTTCCAGGTCCATTTGCAACATTCTCTGAGTAAACAGATTAGTCTCTCCTCACCCAATGGTGGCTGATCCTTTCGGATGGATGAGGCAGTGGCTCTCCTCACCACAACTACCTTCCTCCTTACCAGAGATGACGGTTCGAGGCCCCACGCATGTTCCTCTCCTGCTGAACCCTCAGCCTCACCACACTCTGGATGAGTAGAGACTGCAACAGATGAAAAAGTTTTGTTTTTTTCCCTCTCTACAGCTGACGTGTGGGGTGAATAAACAGTGTGGGAATGAGACACCATGAGGGAATTCCTGCCTCTCTGCCTGTCTGTCTGTATGAATTCAGGCATATTTGCCTAGTTGCCTGCCTGTGAGTGGGTATCTGAATTCCCATTTCTGCTCTAGGCTTTCCTGTCATCTTGACTTCATCCAATATTGGTTGTTACATCTAGTGCCCCACCCACTACAATGCCCATTAGCCACAATTCTAAGGGCGCTGTGTTGCATTCATTTTAGTTAGCTACAATCTGCAATCTGTAGATTAATCCACTCAAGCTTTAGTAGATTAAAAAGTTTTTAAAATACTTGTTCTAATATGTGTAAATTGTAACTTCCGTTATATTAAACAATACGTAGTTTGATCTCTTCTGCTGGGTTTTGTACTATCAGCATTGCCTGGTGGAAGGACACCCAATGTTGTTTTTAGCCTCTGTATCAACACAACGCTTACTGTGACTAATCAGCATAGTGTAACAGGTAAAGTAGTTTACACCGTGACATTTGGGGATGAGTACATGGTGTCATCCTGAGGAATGTGTATTGGCTGAAACAGAAACCAGCTCTGTTGTTAGGACAGCTTATAAGGAGGTGTCATAATTGCCTCTGCTTTTGCTAATTGTAGAGCCCAAGATGGAAACTTAGCATTTTGAAAATGAAACCTGTATATTACAGGTTTACATCTAGAACTCAAGTCTTTCAGGACAAGTCTTTAGGTTGCTTCACATGTTACTGTTTTAGATATACACTTAAGATATCTAAAACTATAATTGGCAGAAAAATGACATAGGGATTTACAGCACTTTTACATGTACCAGTATTCAAGTGTTGCAATTCCATGTAAAGTTGAGTGGACTTCAAAGCAAAGTGTGCTGCTTTATATACCGCCCCATAGTGCTTAAAGCACTCTCTGGGCAGTTTACAAGTTTATAAAAAGTTTTATATAGGCTACACATTGCACACCCACACACCCATGAGCTGGGTATTCATTTTACTGACCTCAGAAGGATGGAAGCCTTGAGCCAGTTATTAGATTTGTTTATCAGCTGTCACTGGTATCACTGACTGTGAATAGAGTTTTAGCTGCAATACTACAGTTTAACCGCTGTGCCACAATGTTCCTTTTGCACCACAAGGATGCTTTGGAAAGGCAAATTCTGGACTTTTGCTGTTATATAATAGGTGGTTTGTCTCTCTCCTGGTTCCCCAAGTTGGAAAACTCTGATGTTCCAAATGATTTTGACTTCACTACCCAAAAAATGAGCACAAAGTTATTGGCAGCATGGTCGGTAGTCACTCGTGATGAGAGTTGTAGTCTAAAACATCTAGAGGTGAAACATTTTCTCACTATCTGTATTAGTAGAAGACCTTTCGGATCAACATGTTTCAAATCTGAGATATATGCAAAGTGCACATTTCTTGAGGTTCTACGCCCAAAGTAAAGACTATTACAGTTGTTTTATTTCCAAGAAATATCATGGTATTTGCAGCGAAGGCTTGGTTATTCACTTATGCTGAGATTATTTAACTAAATGCACGTGGATTGCTCCATTCCCTGCTGCAAATCAAGTCAATGTTTCACATTTTTTTCCATAATTACTTAATGCAGAAAGCTGTAATCACAGTCCGTAATGACTTCCTAGTGGCAGCCTCCTTCGTAGACCAAAAATATGCCATGTTTGGAAATAAACCATCATGTCCACCGGGCTAAATTAAAACCAAATGCTTGAATTTCTAATTTAAAAAAATATTCTACAGGCCAGGAAAGGATTGGCCATGGAAATGCAAATGTGTATGTTTCCCTATGTAAAGATTCAGCCAGAATATCTACTCACAGAGTCTTGCTCGTTTGCATTTTTCTCATTGGCTACAAATACATGGTTTGATACGTATTCATTTCAGAAGCAAAGTAAGCTGCAAAAAAAGAAAATTAAAATAAATTCCAGGACACCGTTTATTTTAGTGTTCGAAACTTGCACTTTGCTCAGATGGATGGGCTATGAAGTGTGCACAAAATTCTTACCACCACATCGATTTAGATAAAGTAGCTGTCTGAGTGCATTCCTGTATGAGCAAAGATATGATGCCTCTGCTGAAACTTAAGTGAGCAAGTCAACATGTACAAATGCATAATGAATACATGGGGGAGGAGGGACAGACTGGGGCAACAGTGGTCTGTGGGATCTTACGTGTTAACATGTTTATGGTGGCATGCATGAACATCTTTATCTGATCATATGCAAAAATTTCTGATCTTGCAAAAATAGGTTGGACACACTATGCTGCCTAGTTTGTACAACATAACTGGCCTCCTTAAGTGAAGTCCTGTTTTTGAGTGTGTAAAAGTAATTCCTAGAAATTTTGATGAGATTGATGCATTAAGGTAGCCAATAGCTGGGGTCCATAGGAAGAATACGAGCACACAGCTAGTGTGCTGTTTTAGTTTCTCTGTGACAATTGTGTTTACTGTTAAAGGCACCATAAGCCATTGCTTGTTCTGGCTGAAGAAACATGTTTTAAAAACAGGTTTGTTTCATTGTGCAGCTCCTTCTTGTATTTTTCCCTTGAAGTCTGACCATGGGCTGCGCTCTTGCCAATATGCAGTCATTAAAGTATAAGTTTTCTTGATCCATTCCCCATCTCTGGATGTTGGTGTTACATACAGCACTGATGTTACCTGTCTGTCATGGGTTTGGAGGGAAAGTTCCATCCTATGGGGAGTGGAAGGCGGGACATCAGGAGGAGGGGCTGTACTGTATAAATATGAGATGCTGAGAGATGCTGAGAGACACTGGGTTGTGACGAAGCAGCAGCTGGGAAGAAGAAGCTGTTGTGGGAGTCTGTGTGTCAGACAAGGTACTTCTGTGTGTCAGAGTACCAACCTGATAGGTTCAGGTGTCTGTTGGTTAGCCAGAACTGATAGGTTCAGGGTCTGTGCTCTAAGTTAAGGGTTCTGTGTGAACCAAACTGTATGCTTGTATGTGTGAGAATAAGCCACGTTACTATATTTTATTCACCTGATTGTTTTATTTTTCCCTGTGTGTATTTAAAATAAACCTTATTCTTTTTATTGTTTAAAAATCCATCCCTGGTCTGTGTGACTTCTTAAAGGGAATGGTTGGTGGCAGCTTAGTAAACGTGTGGCAGATCCCAGTAGGTCTGGGTTTGTCACAGTTGGTTTAAAAACTGTTGATATCTTTGATACAACTGTCAAAATGGTTACTCATCTGGAAAAGAGACAAAACTATTTTTGTTCCTAATCATAGGCTCACCTACTGTCAGAAATGGCGCGGGTAACAAAAACAGAGCATTACAGAGCGAAGACCTCTTCCTGAACTTTTAACATTTGGCCTTCTCAACAACCTGCCCTTTGATGTGGTAAGGGGGATGGGCAAAAGATGATTTTTTGTTGAATTGGCATAAATTACATGCTGGGTATTTCTAGACTAGATGGTGGAGTTTGATGCTTTTTGTTGGTTTGGCATAATATCCTCAAAATTGCAAAAATATGCTTTTGATTACAGTGTGGGTATTTCAGTGATGTGGGGCAGCGGAGCGAGAGACTGTGCAGTATTTATTTTAATTTTAGCCAGTCAGAAACCATTCAGCCTCTTTCTGTTGGTTTGTTAATGACTTATGGATGCAAATTAGGCCCGTGTCAAAGCTGGTGAGGATAAATGTGTGAGCCTGCTGTGAGGGCGGATGAGGGATGCTTCATTTCTAAATGTATTGGGATGGTCTGCAGATGTGAGTTAAGCCATACATGGGAGATGAAGTAAGGGTGGCCAAGTGTCCTCCTTTAAAGGACACTTCAAGGAACTATCCTCCACTGGTGTCTCCTTTTTAAAGTGCTGCCCTGTTCAAAACCACTTACAGGATAAAGCACTGTGAGATGGATGGACAGGAGCTTAAAGTTATCCATCAAAACAGCACCTGTCCAGCTATCTCTACTTACAGTATAAGAATCATTTTGAAATGTATGCATATAAGTATGACATGTATGCTTTCTTTTTTGATGGTGCATTTAGTGATGCCTTTCAGTGACGCTTTTTTTTTTGGTCATGCACTATGCACATTTTTGTGCGTAAGTGGTCACCCAAGATAAAAATACCCAAACAAACAAAGAAACAAAAAAACCCCACTTTCTGGGGATTGTTACTGTTGCTTTTGAGTGCAACCAAGTTGAGAGTGACAGACTCAGGCTAAGCTTATGGTCAACCATACCCAAAGCTGAACCTGGAAAGGGTTATTAAAAAAAAGACTTTGCATTCCACTTAGCTAAGCCAATGCTTAGGAAACAGGACAGGATACAGTAGTTGGTAATACATTTCACTCACCTGGAGAAGGGCTGCTGAGGCTACCTGACTTTCTCTGACCTTTGCTTTCTGTTGTTAAAATTTTTTTTAAAAAGTGGGGGAGAGGAAGCTGTCACGGTGCTTCCTGGGAGTTATACAGGGGGATGGACTTGATGGCCTTATAGGTCTCTTCCTGTCAGGACTGGGGCCTTGCTGGAGCCCTGCAACTTTGGTGCAGGCAGGATCATTCCCATCTCTTTCGGAAGAACTGCTCTAAGTTTTGTAGGACCCTTTCCCTGCAGCTGAGGTCTGGACTATAGAAGGGCAGGCCTTTGACTCAGCAGCAAAGGTCTTCGGTTGTGCTATTGTTCCTGCTTTGTCTGGTGTTTCCTGTCCTCCTTCCCTGCTGGGTTTTTTTCTGCCTTGCATCCCTGGACCCTACTGCCTTGATATGGTTCCTCCTGGCTTTGACCCCTAGATTGCCTATCGTGATTTGCATCATCCTTCTACTTGGCTGCAGTTTGGACTCCAAACCCCAGCTGGTTGGTCTCTGCTTGGGCTGTGGGGCTGGTTCTACCTTGTTCCTGTGGTCTTGCCCTGGACTGGGTCCTGGAGCCTTTTCTGACACTTCCAACTCCATGATTCTATAATAGCCTCTTCTGCTGGACCCTGACACTTCCAACTCCATGATTCTATAATCTTGCTGCCCATTAGGATCTTTAGAAGATGCCCTCCAAGGAAATAACTCACTGGAGTTGGTGCAGAAAGTTTGGGTTTTATGTGCTAGGTGGCTTCAGAATCTGGACTACCATCTCCTCCCATTTCTAACTGATGCCAGACTTCAGTGGTTTAGCCTAAAGGTGTTTGTGCGTGCATTGTGCTTGCATATAGTTGGTATAGTAACAAGTCAGGAAGTTGTGGGGAGAGCCGGAGGATGCATGCCCTTAGCCTTATTGTGCCACTTGGAACAAGGTGTGCAACAGAGGACCACAATTGTTAGTTGTGAGCCCTTTGGTAGCACTGAAGTAGTCCCAGTCTCCCTGTAATGGTTGCATGCAATACCATAAGGAGGACAGGACCACCACCCCATTTTTAGGCCCTGACCTTTGACAAGTGGGGTTGCTGCTGAACTGTGAACGCAAGAGCCTCGTGGCGCAGGGGTTAAACTGCTGTACTGCAGACAAAACTGTGCTCTCTGGTTCAATCCCAGGTAGCCGACTCAAGGTTGACTCAGCCTTCTTCCAAGGTCAGTAAAAGGAGTACTCAGCTCGCTGGGGGGGGGGCAATGTGTAGCCTGCATAATTAACTTGTAAACTGCCCAGAGAGTGTTTGAAGCACTATGGGGCGGTATATAAGCAGCATGCTTTGCTTTTTGCTTTGCTATTAAATGGGCTTCTAATAATCCTCTTGAATCTGTGGGTTGAGGCACACTGAGAACCAAAAGGAATCAGCAGTACAAACCCAGTTTCTCCTACCCTCCCATAACACATTACTTTCTTTGGCCTGCTGAGCCCCACATTGTCTAGGTCACTGCTTTGAGACCCACAGCCAAGATCTTCTCAGTGGTTAAATCGGTCAAAGAGTTGCTTTTGCCAGGTTGCCTCTGTTTCAGTTCTGTTTGTTTGTGTATTCAGTGGAGTTCTCTGTTATCGCCAGCCAGTCCTGACGCCGGGCTTTTCCTGTTTAAGATTCTGACTTCTGATTTCCCACCCCCTTTGTGTGTGTGTTTTTTTTTCTTTTTCCTCCCCAGTTGTTTCCACTTTTATTCCTCGTCAGTCAGGCATACTAAGCAGTCGTCTCCTCTCTTGTTTGCTAAGTTGGCTGTCTCTTCACCTGCTTTTTTAGTGCCAGTTCAGGATGAGTTGTACCTTCAGGGTTCTAAAACCCCTTGGGAATATTTTTCCAATGCAAATCCTATTGGAGTGACAGGGAGCCAAACCTCGGCTATAAAGAACGTCCCCTGACCTCAATCCCCTGAGCATACAGAAGGGTGATTTGAAGAAAAGGAATGCCTAGATATGATTCTAAGCCATTCTTAGCTCAAGATCAGCCAGTGACTTTGTTTGCTCAGTGGGGATGAAAATCTGGATCCCTCAAGTTGCTGTTTGACATTGTAATTGTTACACCCGTTAGTCCTATGCTGATATAATGGAGACCAGTAGAGGCATCGGATGGGGGTGATAGAGACTTCAGCTCTAGCCACAGCCTGGACTAGGATGCAAAAATAGGCATCTGTTCAGAAAACAACTTTTCCAACGTGGTGCTTTCCACAAGTGTTGAGACTGCAAGCCTGTCATCCTCAGAGACTTTATTTTATTTATTTTATTTTATTTTATTTATATCCCGCCTATCTAGTCAATTAAGACCACTCTAGGTGGCTTTCAGCGGTTTAGTGAACATTAGGATGTTTTGATTAGCAGGATATTATCTGCTTTAGCCACCCTGGTTCCTCTTTCCTTTTGGATGCCTCTGCAATCCTCACGACAAGGATGAGAGATGAATTTTACCCAAAATATTACATTGTTATGACTTCTCCCTGTTAAGATCCACTAGCTTTACAAAAGTTCTGCTCTTCATGGAAACTACTGCCCACGGTAGTTTATTGGTACGGATCCAGGCAGTGGCTGCTCACATGTTTGTGTTTCTCTTGGGGACTGTCAGGCTAAACCCCCAAATTTTATAGTTTACCACTGTCCCACTGCTCAAGCATGGCACATTAAGGAAACCACTGACTATTTGCTGGCAGGAAAGAAAAAAAGCCATTGGAACCTGATTAACCAGGTGCTGTTAGTTGAAGAGCATCAACCAGCCTGTTAGGTCTTTTGCTGAACAGCTTTTGGAATAATTTAGAGCATTTCAGTCACAGCAACTTGAAAAAGCCACAGCATGCAGAACATGGACTATACTTCATCTTGCTGATGGAGAACCAGCAGAGGATTGGAAGTTTGGTGCCTCAGATGAGCTCATCTGATTCTCAGGAAATAACGAATGTTGGTTCCAGTTGCTGGAAGACTGAGGGCCAAACTTCCTCTGCATGCAAAAGATCCACAGTCACAACACTTGCAAAGTTTTTTGCTCTCCTAGTCGTATTTTTGCAGATATTCTTTCTGTCTCCATTGGCATGGGAGAATGTACTTTCCATCACCCAAACATAAATTATTCTTCAGTTTGGAATTCAGAAGTCTGCATTTTTAGCAGCATGCTGAGCTGAACCTTTTGGCAGCTGTACTGAGCAAACACACATAGAGAGGAGAAGAAAAAGTGGGGAGGGGGAAAGCATCTGGAGCAATGGAGACATCTTCATGGCAAATAAATAGTTCAAATCTATTTTGGGCAACGCTTTGGGGTTGCAGAGAAAGTATTACGAAGCTGTCCAGGTCCTAGACTTGTAGATAAATCACAGGAACAACATGGTAATGGAACTGGGCATTAAAATCAAAGGATGTCTTCTGATACCTTGGATACCAAGCTTGTAACTAGAGGTATGCAGGTTTGTGTGTTTTTATTACACAGTGCCTGGAAAATGCTGAAAGACCATAATCCAAGAACAGAAACCTGTACACCTCGGTCCAGAACTCCACATTAGTGTTGGAAGACATCTCTAAAAATCTATTCCTAGGGCTATTTCAAATCATATTTCCTTTGTCAGCCAAAGAAGCATTTTTTTTAAAAAATCTAAATATAGAGCACAGCTCCCCCTGCCTAGGCAAGGAGGGTCTCTTGTGCAATCAGTTAAATTATTAGATGCTGAATATCACGTTCTTGTGCAGCTCCCATTTTTTGCACCAGAGCTTGTGCAGGAGAATTTCATGGTGATGTGACTCTGGTACTTCTCTTTTGCAGAAGTGGCTTTGCTAGACTGAGATCTCTGTGCTGTCCTTTCACACTTTTCCAGCTCTGAGCAAATTTCTCTGCAAAGAAAAAGAAAACATTTTAAAAAAAACTAAAATGAAAGCAGCCGTCATGAAACCTTTCCAGCAAAGTCTGTGATCCTCGAGAAACTTTTTAAAGATGTGTGCATCTCCGTGTTGAAAGAATACAGTATTGCCAGCTTTGTGAAATGCTGTAAATTGTTGCATTTGGAAGCCAAGGCTGAACTTCTGCACGCAGAAAGGGTATTTTTACTGGAGACAAGGAAACAATTCAACAAGAAGGAACCTCCAGTCACAAAGAATCAACCTAAACCACACACGTGGAGCCAGTTCTGTAGCTCAGATGAGGAATTGGAGCAGGGATGGGGCAGCCCTTGCCGAAATAACTGGATTGAGGGATGATTGGATGTATGATGTGAACGTGACTTGAGTCACACAGTCCCTTTATCTGGATGGCTGGATGCATGACAGTCCTCCAGGGGTAGCCCCACTGAGGGAAGAAAAGAAGGGGTTAAGCAAGAACCCAAATCGGCAGCTGGGCAGAACGAGTGTTGGGCAGTGATCTGCCACATACAACTGATCAGCAGAGATAAAAGACTATGGTTTATCTCTGCTGATCATTTGTGTATAACAGATCGTTGCCCTGCCCAGTTGCCCCTTTGGATTCATGATGGATCTCTGGTTTTCCTTAACTCAGTGGGGGCTACTCTATCAGTACAGAGTTGTCATGCATCCATCCAGCCACAATAGATGCTCGGAAGGCTGTTTCAGCTGGGAAGATCACATGTTGCACAGGCCAAGTATAATTTCTAAGCATATTTCTTGGGCCCAACCTTGCATAAATAAATAAATAGGGGGTCTGAAAGTGGCTCGTTGCAATCCAGAAGCCTCCAGAGATTATGGTTAGGAATGCCAGATCGCCTGCCTCAAAGTCCCTGAGATGGCAGGGCCAGAATCAGAGATCAGAAAGTATCACGGGACGGTCCCTTTTGATGGCATAGAACAGGCATACGTGGTATCACAGGGCCAAGCCTCTCAAGTATCGCACAAGACATCTGTGTTAAAATACAGGGGTAGGGTAGGCAAAGGTGGGGAGGGGTGTGGAAATGCTTCTAGACCGGCTGATTCTGGAAATCAGCCTGACGGGAATCCAATTAAATGAATCGAGAATCTGGGTAAAACCCAGCGGAACAGATAATACAGCAACCTAGGGCAACACACAGAACCCTTTTATT